GATAAGGGGTAATGACTTTAAACTGACGAGGGCAGGTTTAGATGAGATATTGGGAAGAAATTCCTCACTGTGATGGGGATGGTGAGGCACTGGAACTGAGGAACAACTTGCCCAGAGCAACTGTGGCTGCCCCATCCCTGGAAGTGTTCCAGGCCAGGTTGGATGGGGCTTGGAGCAACCTGGGATAGTGGAAGGTGTCCCTGCCTATGGCAGGAGGTGGAACAAGATGATTTTTAAGGTCCCTTCTAACCCAACCCATTCTGGGATTCTATGAAATCAGGAGTTCAGAGTAAGAGGTTGACTGCTGTGTTGCTTTTTAAATAAAAGACCATTCCCTTTTTCTTGGCCATGGATCATCTGACGGAAGAGCGTCTGCAAAGATATCTTGGGAATAAATGAGTAACTTCTTCAAGCCTTCAGGCATTTTGCTCTGTTACCAGCTATCAGCATCATTTTATGAAATTTGTGAACTAACATGGTTTGTAACTCTCCAGTTTTTAATGTAGAATTTGTGAATGCACACAAGTGAAACCAGTAGCATGAGATTAAAAAACCCCCGGCAATAATCCTAAATATGTTAACATATCCCTGGAATATACTCACTTAAGCAAGGATGAATACCTGTGAAAATAGGGATTTGTTATTTATTATTTTAATCAGAGAAAGGCAAGCCAAGCACATTTTATTTATGGTGAATCCTAAAGCGTCTATTTTCAGGCCATTACTTCTCATCTGGAAAATAGCAATATGTCAAAATTCTTTCTAAGATATGTGTTGCATCTGTGCCTGAGTGACTTTTTTCTTTAAAAAAATCATAAATTATAGTTATTTCTGTGTGTTTTAATGTATAGATTTAAGTAGAGGGATTTACCATCTAATAAAGTAGCACAAAATATTTATTTTTGAGGATTTGAACAGATAAGCAAGTGTATAGCAGGTCTGTGTGCTGGGGGTTTGCATGTGAGTGTAGCCACACATTCACAGTTTTCTTTGTATCAAACGATCAGAAAATGGGAGTGGGATGGGATGTCTTGCCCTGGGAATTGTTCCTGTGAGCAGGAGATTGATGTGACATTGCTGCTGTAAAATAATGAAAGAGAGGATAACTGCACCTCTGACAGTGTTTGTTTGGGAACATCGGACTGGATTGGCTCTGAAACTGTAGTGGAAAGCATAAAAATGAAATGTTTTAGTAGCTACAGAGTTTGTAATCAAACAAACTTGAGTCAGTGGTGTGTGGTATTACCCAGCTCTGTAAGGTCAATGTGTCCAATGGGAGGGCCCTGCTCAAAACACCAGGAAATGGAGTTGCTGCTTGATTTGATGTCAGTGAGGGGGCAGGTAACAAAAATTGGTTGAAACAAAGCTTTTGTGCACTTCTACCAGGCTGGATTTTGCAAGGCATAAGGAAGATTCACACAGAGTTGGGTTTTGGTTTTCTCATGGACCAAGTGCTTGTAAGTGTTTGGCCGTGGTCATTCAGGCAGAAGAGAAGGCTCTGGGGAGACCTTGGAGCCCCTTCCAGCACCTAAAGAGGCTCCAAGAGAGCTGGAGAGGGACTTGGGACAAGGTCCTGGAGTGACAGGACAAGGGGGAATGGCTTCCCACTGCCAGAGGGCAGGGCAAGATGGGGTATCAGGAAGGGATTCTTGGTTGTGAGGGTGGGGAGGCCCTGGCACAGGTTTCCCAGAGAAGCTGTGGCTGCCCCTGGATCCCTGGAAGTGTTTCAGGCCAGATTGGACAGAGCTTGGAGCAATGTGGTCTAGTGGAAGGTGTCCCTGCCCATAGCAGGGAGTGGAACTGGGTGATCTTTAAGGTTCCTTCCAACCCAAACCATCCTGGGATTCTGTAAGTTTGGGACTATTCTGCCAAAGGCTGGATCGTGCCCAGACAACCTCCCCCAACATGAGGGGAAACCTCCAGATCTGAATAAAATTAGGTTTTACATTTCATAAGATGTTGGATGACACAAAGCTGGCACAGCTTTTAGGAGCACAAACTTGAAGCTTTTCCCAAAAGCTTTGGCAGAATAGCAAGGCTGCACTATTTTCTCCAAATCCCTGTATTTGGCTTTAGAAAGAAGACTTCTAGTTAAAAAGAAAATCCCCCGTGTTAGTTTGTCTGTGAGTAGCTTTAATAAGACCTGGACCCTTTCAAACAGAAGGAAGCCCTGTAGCTCTTGGTTGAATTTGAAGATGGAGATGTCTAATAGCTATTCCTCCATAATATTTCCAGCTGCCACTGATATGTAAATAGTTTGAATGGCTTTTTCCTGTACTGTTAGGACCAGGTTATTTACCCTTTCCTTCAGTTGAAGCAATTATTACTGTGTAGAATTCTCTGCTTTATTCATACAGTATTTCTATGCTTTCACTGCTTTTAAGTCAAGCAGCTTTATTTTGCTGCTTGGCTAATTTCCTGCTAAATTTAGCTAGTTCTGAACTCACAGTGTCATGGTTTAAGCCCAGCCTGAATCTAAGCACTATAAAGCCTTTTGCTCTCTCCTCCCCCCCAAAGTGGGATGGGGAGCAGAGTTGGAAAAAGGTAAAACCTTTTAATAATTATTAATAATGTAATAATTATTAAAATAATACATTGATTATTCATTATTTAATAATTGTTATTATTTTTAATAATAATAATAATAATAATAATAATAATAATAATAATAATAATAATAATAATAATAATAATAATAATAATAATGGGGGAACAAAAACCCTGTTGGAATAACTCTGGGTCAGCTGTCCTGGCCGTGTTCCCTCCCAGCTTCTTGTGCAGCTCCTCGCTGGCAGAGCATGAGACACTGAAAAGTCCTTGACTCAGGGTAAGCACAGCCAAAACAACCAAAATATCAGTGTGTTATCAACACTGTGCTCATCCTAGATCCAAAACACAGCACTGTACCAGCTACCAGGAAGAAAATTAACTCTATCCCTCCTTCACGCAGAGAAAGTTAAGCTGACTTGGCAATACCAAGGAATTGTTGGCATTTCCAAAGAATAGGTGTGTTTCTCTTTTTGGTTACTCAGGGAATTCCAGAAATGTTAATGTATTCACTGAATTTTTATCTTCTTGATAATCTAGAAATTTCCTGGGCTGAAGTTGGGCTCTCACATAAGTGTCCTCAGAGGCCTGTTGTGTGTGGGGGTGGCAGGGAGGGCTCAGGTCAGCTCAGGCCTTAAATCAACCCTGATTTAAGCAGATCCTCTTGCTGATTTATTTTTTTTCCCCCTTATGATGGAGAGGACTTTCTGCTTTATTTAAACCTTTACTGTCTCGCTGGATGAGAATCCAGGAGATTAGGAGTGCAATCACACCAGGCTTTAAAAATAGAGATGCTGAACAGTTGTATTTCTTGGCTCTTTGGTCAGGCCATCAGTAACTGCTTTGGAAGAAAGGATGTAAAGAATGCTACTTCCCTCTTCCCCCTTTTTTTGTCCCCCTTCCCCTCTTTTTTTGTCCCCTTCCCCCTTTTTTTGTCCCCTTCCCCCCTTTTTTTTGTCCTCTTCCCCCTTTTTTTCTTCCCTTCTCCCTTTTTTGCCCTTTTTTCTTTCCTTTCCTCCTTTTTTATCCTTTCCCCCTTTTTATCCTTTCCCCCTTTTTATCCCTTCCCCCTTTTTTCCCCTTCCTCCTTCTTTTTTTCCCCCTTCCCCCTTCTTTTTTTCCCCCTTCCCCCTTCTTTTTTTCCCCCTTCCCCCTTCTTTTTTTCCCCCTTCCCCCTTCTTTTTTTCCCCCTTCCCCCTTCTTCTTTTCCCCCTTCCCCCTTCTTTTTTTCCCTCTTTCTTCCCCCTTCTCTTTCCCCTTCCCCCTTTTTCCCTTCCTTCATCAGAAAGTGTCAGTTATAGAAAAGTGTTTTCACTGCCTTCTTCAAAAATGTGTTACATTATTGGTCTGCTTTTTTAGTAGTATAGCAGGCTTTTCTTTTTCCTGGAAAAAAAATATGATAAAGAAGAAGAAATAATTGTCTTTGTAGAAAATGTTTATTTCAAGGCAGTAATTTTCATACACCTTTCTGGCTCATCCTCCTCCTTTTCAAGGGGGCTGGAAACCCAGCACTGCTGCCCCTTGGTTTTATTTAGTTTGTTGTGCTCATCCTCAAAAATGCTTATACCATTGGGAGCCAAAATTTGTGTCAAGGAGATAAAGGCAAATATAATACTTTCAGTTTGGATGCTGAATGGTTTTGATAGAATGCATGGATATTTAATATCTTGGTTTTCATTTTGTGCTGATGGATCTTTCACACAACACAAAGTCACATTTTTACAAGAATATAACGTACTATTATTCCCCTTTTCCCTCAAACAGCAGAAAGGGTCAGGTATGGTTTGGGGTTTAGGTATTTTAATTTTTTCTCATCCCTTGAGAAAGGTGCATCAATGTTCATGTTCAGATTGGCTGTAGAAATGAAAAGTCTTTTCAAAGTCTCTCCATCTGCCACTGCAAGTTAAAAGACCTTATTTCTCACCCTCTGAGCTCTCAAGCCTTGCAATTCAGTATGTAAAATTAAAATAAAATTCTCACATTCCAAGCCATGTTTTTAATAGTTTTCTTTGTGTTTAAAGGCACTGAACAGTCTTCCTTACATACTGGTTAAATGGTTGATTTCAGTGGGTTCTAGATTTCTAGGCAGTGGTGAAATTCTTAATTTTCTATTTTCTGATTTTCTAATTCTTCTCTGATTTTCTAATTCTTATTTTCTGAGTTTTGATTTTCACATTCTACCCCAAACCTACCAGGATTGAGAGGTATCTTTGAATTGAATTTAGGTGGCTTATGCTAAGCCCATAGTCTGATAAATTTAAACTCTTTTGAGCATGTAATATACAGAATTTTTCATTCTGTGAGAGTTTAAGAAGTACTTCAGGGAATCACCTACATAGTAGGGATTGAAAAATAGCACTCTAGGAGGTGTGTTGTTCCTGGATGCATTGGTTTATTTGCTAAAAACACCAACAGCAATCTTTACAGGAACATGTTCCTTTCTGTTTTTATAGGATGCGAGATACTGCCAGAAAAGTGGAAGAAAAGTATTTTTCCAACCTTGCAACACATGTAGAATTCCTTCCAGTGGAATGGAGATCAAAACTGACCCTCGATGGAGGTACTTGGCTTGGTTCTCTTGCTGTTGCCAGTAGCTGCAGTCTGCAAAATCCTCCTCAGAATTTTCAGCCTTTGTTCTCTGCCTGTGGCTTGCTTGGATTTTTCTTTGGTTTTGTTTGCACATCCCATCCCTTGAAGTGTTCCAGGACAGGTTTGGAGCAACCTGCTCTAGTGGAAGGTGTCCAGGTTCATGGCAGGGAGATGGAACCAAATGGGCTTTAAGGTCCCTCCCAACCCAAACCGGCCTGTGATTCTGTTTTATCATTCTCCTGTATGCAAGTTAAGTCTCCTTTTTCTTTTTCCCAGACACTGTGGACTCCATTACTCCGGATAAAGTCCGAGGCTTGCGGGATATGCTGAACAGCAGCGCCATGGATATCATGTACTACACGAGTCCTCTGTACAGAGATGAAGTAAGTGTGTAAAGCCTGGTTTTATGTAAGTTTTACTAGAGCAGGGCTTGGAGGCTGGACTTGGGAATGTCAGCACAGTTTCCTTCTGAGAAACCCTGATGTGTGAAGGATGTTGACACTTTGTAGGAGCGTAATGGTCACCTACAGTAGTCAAATACAGAGTTTTAAAAGTGGTGGGAGTAGAGAAGCCAGAAAAGGGTGCAGTGTAATTTATTTAGAGCAGAAATGTCTGTCGAAAACGGTTCTGTACCAACAGCTTAGAAACAGAAAGGATTCCCACTGTGTTTTCAATAATTTCTGCGTATTTAGAGCAATGGGAGTCCACAGAGCTGAGATTCTTCTTACCCCTCACAAAATCCTTGGACATTTGTCATTTCCTTTTTGTCAGATGGGATGGCAGCACGTGCAAACGTGCCCTAGGCAGTTTTAATGCATTTGTGTACACTTGGCCTTGCAGGGAAGGCAAAATGATTCACAATTACACAGTTTATTAGGGGACTGTTTATTTTTTATTTATCCAGTTTATTCTGGATGCTCCCATCTTGCTTTGCCACATCTCTGTAGGAACGTATGTGCTCTAGTCTGTGCAGCTGTAAAGTGACCCAGTGAATCAGAGGGGAAAAGCCTCAAATAAATGATAGTAACCTTTAATAATTATAACCCTTGAATAAATTATAATAAAATATAATAAATAAATAAATGAAGTAACCTGTAGAACATGCACAGTGCATCACCCCAGTAGCATCCCTCATGTATCACACAGGGGAAAACCCCTGTGGGGCTGTTTTAGGATTAATTTCTGTAGGAATTGTAGTTTCTTTCTGTATTGGCTACATTATATATGGAATAGTTAATCTTTTGACAATCTTGGTGCCCTGAGCATGGTTAGACTGGAGCAGGGTGAGATTTCAAAGCTTACAAGGGGTTTTGATGCTACTTTTCAGTAAAATTAGGTGTGTTTAAGTCCTTTAGACTGTCAATTTTAAAACTGAAAGCTAGGCCTCTCTTCCTGCTCAGTAATGCAGAGTTCATTGATCAGCGTTCTCCCCTGTGTCTCAGGTTTCTCTGCCTGTTGTGTAACTGAGGCCAACATGAACTATTGTGGCAAGTGACGAAAATTTCCCTGGCAGCTTTAAAACAGATATTTTTAAACTGCATTAGAGGCTTGGCGTGTCTGTGGACATCTTATGGGAAACGGATTAGTGAGTGAAGTTCAGGTGTGCTGGCCAGCAATGCATGAAAAACTTAATTCACTGCTTGGTAGAACTGTAGTTTTACAGGTTTATCACCATCCCTTGGGTGTGAGAATTGTCAAATAAAATGAATGTGCTGTAACTGTGCTTAGATCTGGTTACGGAATACTAAGCTGTGTTTTTCATCAAATCAAATGAATTTTCTTGAAGTGTTTGCAACAACATACCCAAGTTACTCTTCCTTATCCCATTTTTTTTCTCTGACCTAACTTTGCAGAGTTTAACACAATAGTATCAAATGGAGCATTCTTCTGGAAAATGCTGGGTGGTTTCCCATCTTCAGTGTGGAGTTGTTTTGTGGCACTTTGCTCTGAATGCTCATTCCAGCTCAGAAATGAGCCTTGTCTTCAAGTGTTCACATGGTCACACATTGCTCAGAATTAATGTACCTGCTCAGCACTTTGTTACACTCACACAATTCTTTGTGTACCGTGGGCACTTCTGGTGCTTTCCATCCAGAAATCCTGAAAGTATCTTGAAAATTATTAAACTTCACTTTGCCTCTGTGAAATAAATGGAGCAATGTGGTGAGCTCAGCCTAGGGAAGGGTAAAGCTGCTGTTCACCTCATGACACTCGGCAGTCATCAGATCCCAGAGTGGTTTGGGTTGGAAAGGACCTTAAATATCATCCTGTTCCACCCCCTGCCATGGGCAGGGACACCTTCCACTAGACCAGATTGCTCCAAGCCCCATCCAACCTGGCCTTGAACACTTCCAGGGATCCAGGGGCAGCCACAGCTTCTCTGGGCATCCTGTGCCAGGGCCTCCCCACCCTCACACACAAGAATTTCTTCCTGATATCCCATCTCACCCTGCCCTCTGGCAGTGGGAAGCCATTCCCCCTTGTCCTGTCACTCCAGGCCCTTGTCCAAAGTCCCTCTCCAGCTCTCCTGGAGCCCCTTTAGGCCCTGGAAGGGGCTCTCAGGTGTCCCTGGAACCTTCCCTTCTCCAGGTGAACCCCCCCAGCTCTCCCAGCCTGGCTCCAGAGCAGAGGGGCTCCAGCCCTTGGAGCATCTCCATGGCCTCCTCTGGACTTACTACAGCAGCTCCACATCCTTCTCATGTTGGGGGCCCCAGAGCTGGACACGGTGCTCCAGGTGGGATCTATGGGATCCTGGCAGAGGGAGAATCCTTCCCTTGATCCTGCTTCCCACGCTGCTGGGGAGGCAGCCCAGGACACGTTTGGCTTTTGGGGCTGCCAGCACACATTGCACAATACTTGGATACAACTTTCCTTTCTCCTTTCAAGAATTTTCCCCACATCGAGAAGTACCAGAAGTGCTTCTTTAAAGCTTCTTAGCACTCTTCAAACAGCTCCTTAAGGGATTTGCAGGTGGGCAGTGTGAGAGGCAGCCACTCTCTCCTTTCAGGGGGAAGAGTCCTTGTTCGTATCGTTTTCACGCGGGACAGCAAAGAGCTGTCCCAGAGGCACTGGATGGCTCAGCTGAGCCTTCCAGGAGCGTGGTGGATGACCCCCTCTCTGATTTCAAGTATTGTTTCTTCTCCAGCACGGTAGGAGAGTATCCAAAAGGTTCCTCTGACTCCTGACATGCGATGTGATACCAGACAGGCATTAATAATTCAGCACAGCCCTATGAACACCTCAGACAGTCTGGTCTCAGACTGCAGCCAACAGATTCAGCCGTGGTGGTTTTGTGTGGCTGCAAGTTGTGCTGTTCAGGTCCTTGCCCATACCAAATCCCTTTTTAAACATTATCAGATAATAAGGAAAAGCAATAAATTGATGTTTTGCTGCAGACCTACCTATTTCTAAATGAACAGTCATTTCACATTCTGCTTCTGACCTTGCTGGTGCCATCTGTGGTAACCTAATCTCAGGGTTTAGTGTCTTCAGTGGGCGACTTCATTTCACATCTGTGTCACTGTAGCTTCATATTTCTTTAATAATGAATGGCTGTAACAGAGATTAAAAAGACTAATTGATACATAGTAAATTCAGTGTTGTCACCTTCATTATAGTGCTAAATGCTTTTTTTTACTGATCTTCACTGTACTCACTTGCAGGCTAATTGTAATTCTGCAAATTATTGATATATGTCATGGCAGAAAATGCCTGTAGTACAGGATAAATATTATTTACATCAGTCATCCCAAAATCTCTATAAAGATTTGGTGCAAATACTGTAGTAGCCTCAGATCAGTAGGACATGTTTTTGGATTACTTCCTTCTCAGCTGAAGAGCAGGGAAACTTCATTGTCCACCTTAGAATCATGGAATAGTTTGGATTGGAAGGGACCTTAAACACCATCTTGTTGCACTCCCTGCCATGGGCAGGGGCACCTTCCACTAGACCAGGTTACTCAGAGTCCTGACCTTGAAATGGCTTCATGATTTGCCATTAAACACATATTGAGGGCACGTGTTAACTTATAGTAGAACTTTCATCCCTCTTGCATATGAGGTTTTGCAATGGGAATATCCTTTCTTTGTGTATCCCTTTCAGCAACTAAAGGGAACTGTTTTAGGAGTGTTTGAAAACAAGATGTGGAGCAGGAAATTTTAAACTGAGACTATTTAACACTAGCTTTGCTTATTTTGTTGAACCTAATAATGAAGATGCTGCTTGGCAGCACTTCCATGGCTTGCTTAATTAATTGGATTGTCCTTGAATGAATTCTCAGCTTTATGAAGTGGTAGGTTAATGGCTCTGCCTGAACCTAACAGTGACTTGTTAGAAATGGGTTAGACTCAGCTTTTCAGCAGCAAGAGTGGTCTTGAGAGAGAGACTTGGGTCTGGACAGACCCACAGATCCTTTTTTTGTTCCATCACTAAAATACACAGCCTTTCCCGTCTGTTCCCACAGCTCCTGCTCATTCTGGCCTCTCATCTGTTGTTGTGACAATCCCCTGGCATCCTTCAGTGATGCCATCAGGGAGTGTGACAACTGTTGTATCCTGAGGGTCAGCAGCCTCACCAGCTCTGCCTCATGTGTTGGCATGTTCTCCTGGTTCACGTGGAACAAAAACTTCTTGTCTTCGCTTTCACGGTCCTTTACAGTCCATCCTTGAGCTGCAGCTCTTCTGTTGGCTTTTAAGGGCCCTCTTCTCCCCCCAGTTGGCTCACACACTGCCTGCTTGCTGACTTTCAAATGAGTTTGCACTTTCTCCTGAAGCTCTCTTGACATTTGGAAAGGGCTGCTTGCAAAACTAACTGTTCCTCAGATCTCCTTGAAATTCCTTTCCCACAAAGGTACAAAAACACAGTCATGCTGTTCAAGCTGGAGGGGGTGCAGAGGTCGTGTTTCCTGCACTCTCTTTTCATTGGTAGCTTTCTGTTATTTTATTTCTCTTAGGGTTCAAACTGTTCATGTGGGAAGACAGTCCAGTGGGTGAGGGTCCTGTGGAGATGGCATGGAGAAAGGAACTCTGAGAGTTACAGCAAAGGGATGGTCAGAGCTGAGAGCAGTCTCAGGAGGGGACAATCCACATAGCCCAAGAGGAGAGGAAGTTTTTTTGTTGGATTTGACAGATCAAAAAGGTTTGGACTGGAGTGCATTGTCCAGGTTTTGGCAGCAAGTGCCAGGGGAGGCTCAGGCTGGATATTAGGAAACACTCCTTCACTGAAAGGGTGGTTAAGCAGTGGAACAGGCTGCCCAGGGAAGTGGTGGAGTCGCCATCCTTTGAAGTGTTCAACAAACAAGGAGATGTGGCACTTCACGATATGGTTTAGTGGGCATGATGGTGGTGGTGGGTCAGAGGCTGAGCCTGACGATCCTGGAGCTGT